AAAAAAAAAAAAAAAAAAAAACCCCAACAAAAAAAAAAACCAAACAGAGAAGCCAAACCCAACAACAGAACGAGCTAAAAATATTCCGGCTTTGGCAGGGCCGGCGCGGCCGGAGCGCTTCCCAGCGAGCTGCGCTCTGAGGCTCCGCGCTGCCGGAACGCTGCTGGGGCGGATAAACCGGATAATTTAGTGGCCGGCGGGAGGGGGGGGTCCCCATCCCCAGCACCCCGTGTCCCCCCGGCATGGCCCGGCCGCGGTGCCGGCAGCCGTGGTAGCGTGGCGCGGTAATTAACGCCGATGACTGATAATTAGCCCAGGCAGCGCACGGAGCCAGCCCGCGGCCGGCCGTGGCGGGGCGATGCCGGTGCGGCTCGCGGCACCCGTGGGGCACGGCGGGGCTGGGGGGGCTCCGGCAGCGCTCCCCCAAATGGCTCCCGGCGTGGGGCCGGACTACACCTCCCAGGAGCCTTTGCTGGGCCCGGCGGCCGCCCTGGGAACGGGAGATAAAACTGTTTTCCTTGGTTTTATTAAAGCCGTAACTCAGGGCCGCGCGTTCTTGGAACCGAACGCTCCGGCTGGCGTCGGGTTTGGCACCGGCACCGGGTGGGTGATGGCACCGGGGCCGGGGTGCCCACACTGCCCGGGGATGGGGGGATGGAGACCCCCGGAGCCACCAGAGCCCACACAGGCGGGGTGCAGCCCCTGCACCCCAATTGTAGTGGGTCACACTGCCACGGTGTGCCCTGTGCTGAGCAGGACCGGGGTCCCAGCGCCTCCCCCACAGCCGGGGGGTGGGAAACTCTGGCAGAGGCCTGAGCCGCGCTGGGGCCTGGCTGCAATTTTTGCCCTTCGGATGTTTTTGTGGACTAGTGGAGAGTTGTGACTGCGCCGGGCTGCGTGTCACCATGGCAGAGCCCCGGGCTGGGAGCAGCGCGGCCATGCCGGTGTGTGGCTTGACCCTGGGGGTGTGCGTGTGCATCCCGGTGTGAATCCCGGTGTGAATCCCGGTGTGAATCCCAGCGTGAATCCCGGTGTGCATCCCGGTGTGAATCCCGGTGTGAATCCTGGTGTGCTTCCCGGTGTGAATCCCGGTGTGAATCCCAGTGTGCTTCCCGGTGTGCATCCTGGTGTGCTTCCCGGTGTGCATCCCATTGCTGACCCGCAGCCTGGCAGTGGCAGTGCCGGTGTGCATCCCGGTGCTGGCACTCAGCCTGGCCATGACAGTGCAGGTCCCGGTGCATCCCAGGGTGCATCCCAGTGGCGATGAGTCGGCGGCTGGATGTGCTCCCACACCTGTCCCCTCCCTGGATGGCGCCGCAGGCTGGGTGCTGTGCGGTTCCCAGCACGGCTTTGAGCGGGGATTTGGGTGGTGATGGTGGGAGGCAGGTGGGGACCGTGCCCCTGGCTGGGTGGTGACACAGGGCCGGGTGCCAGCGCTGCAGCCGCTCTGCATCGCTGCTTCCCTGGCGACGGGATCTGACGAGGGGCTGGAGGCCACAGCTCCGGCGTGGGGGCTTCCTGCTCCCCCCAGCCCCCGTGCGGCACGTTGCCAAAGTATGTGTGAAAGTTAAACCAGATTTGGAGATTACTGAGCTGCTCCTTGGTAGCCACGAGGTGCCGGGGGGAGCAGCGGGATGTGCAGAACCCCGGATCCTGGGGAATTACCCCGGCTCTCGCAGAGTCATCCCCGAGTGGTTCTGCTGTTCCTTAGTCATGAGCTGGATCCAGGCAGAGATGTTGCCACGTGCCAGGCCCTGGGGGACGGGCAGCTGCCACCAGCTCCTGGCACTGCCCGGTGAACAATGTGGGGTGGATGGGCTTCATGGAGAATTTGGGGACCAATTGGGATACCCCTGGCTCCTCTGGACCCCCAGCCCTGCCTGTGCCCTGACTGCCCCACAGCGTCACCCCAGGGCAGGCTCTGACCCTGCTGGGGTCCCCCAGCCCTGGGGGAAGCGAGTCCCACCAGGAGCCACGAGTGTGACATTCACAGGAACTGCACAGGGTGCCCGTGGGCCCACGTTTTGAGGGTTCCTGGGAGGGGTTCATGTGCATGGCATCCATGTGATACCAGGAGTGGGGCAGGACATCAGGACTCCTGGAGGACACTCCCTGGCTTCCCTGTGCTCCAGAAATGGTCTTCCAAGGCACGTGTGTGTGAGGTTGTGCTCTGGGCGTGCAAATCGTGCTCTGGATGTGAAAGTCATGCGTGCAGGGAGAGTGCACTGGGCACACAGGTGTGTGCCAGCTGTGCCAGTGGTGTGTGCCAGCCGTGCCAGCAGCATTTTCCAGCTGTGCCATGAGTGTCCACCACCCTCGTGAGCCCTTTGCACACATGCTGAGTGTGCAAGCGCTGAGTGTGCAGTGGCTGTGGCCAGCACAGCTGCCGGTGGCATTCCAGAGGGGATAACCCATGGCACAACACTGGGATCACCCTACTGGCCCTGTCGGGCACGTTCTGGCAGCATTTCACCATTGCAGCGTTCATTTAGTGCCATAACAATACGGATTCAGTTGGAATTACAGTACTGAGGGAGCCAGAGCCCGTTTATTCCCCGCTTGCCAAATTTTTAAAGGGGCTGTGTGGGTTGTGAAGCACGTGGGGGGGTGCTCACCACCCCCTGCCCTGCTGGGGGGGGCCTGGGTTGCCCCTGCCAGGGTCCCTGCCAGCTCCCAACCCTCCACCCGCGGCTCCAGCTCCATTAGGAATGTTCCAGCCCCAAAATAGCTGAGGGAGAAACCCAACCCTGCGCACGTCCCCCCCCCCGCCACCGTCGCGGTCCTGGGTCTGTCACCGCCTTGGGGATCCCAGAGCAGCCGTGGGCTGAACCCCCCCAGGAGCACGGCCCCCCTCCACACGCTGGCCCTGAAACTTTCTGCCTTCCCAACACATTCCCATCTGTGCTGCACTTGGAGTGGGGGCGAGGAGCAGCTGGAGGGAAAGGAGCACCTCTTGTTGCCCCCTCCTGAGTCTCCCCAATGTCCCCCCGCCCCTCTCAGCGCTGTCAGTGTGGCCGTGCTGAGACCTGGCACAGTCGTCACACGTGTGACCCTCTGCAGGTTCGGGGCCAAGGGAAATTTCGTGCCGGAGCCGGGAGCGATGCCGGCGGGGCTGAGTCACGGCACCGGGCTCGGGGAGCCCAGCCAGGGAGTTCCCAGGGTGACGCTGCCGGGGGGCTGCGGGGGGGGGCCGGGCTGGGACCCCGCAGCCCATCTGTCCCGTGCTGGCAGCCGGCCCCGCGGTGCTGTGCCCGTCCTGGCGCGGGGAGCCACCGGCTCACGGGTGACACCAGTTGTGCACGTCCTCCGTGACCCATCCCTGTCCTGTCCTCGCCATCACCGTGGCTGGAGGGGCAGAACTAGGGAGCCATGGCGAGTGGGAATGTGGGATCGGCAGTGCTGGCCACGGGGCCAGCGTGCGCCGGGGGACCCGTGAGTCAGCGGTGGGCGGTGGGGAGCGGCGGCCCCACGGCCCCCCCGGGACACCCCGGCCCCGCCGCCATCGGGGTGGGGTGAGGGGTTATTTTTTTCCAGCCCCGTTTCACGGCTTCCAGAAAAGTCTCATTCTGGAAACCTCGGCTTCCCGCCCGGCACGCTGCCGGCTCCACGCCCGCGCGGGGTCCCCCGGCACTGCACAGGGTGGGTTTGCCGTGGGCAGCACCGGGCAGGGATCCCCCGGGATGTGCCCACCCATCCCGGAGCGTGTCCGGTTCCCAGGGCTGCGGGTGGGATGCGGCCGTGCCCCCGGCCCACGCGGCCCTGCCCGGCTCGGCCTCGCCACGGAGGAAGGAGCGAAGCTGCCTGAAACCACATCCCGACACTCATCCCAGAGGCATCCCGGTGGGATTAGCCGGGGAGCGTGGGCCGGCTTAGAGAGCAAAGCATCGCTTCCTGCCCCGGCCGGGCGGGCAGCCAGCCCGTGTTCTGTGCCACGCCACGCGTGCCGAGCCGTGCCGAGCCGTGCCACGGCCGCTCCGGCACGCACGGACACTGGGAGCGGGGCCACACGGTGAGGGGCTGTTCCTCCATCTCGGCTCCCCCATTCTGGCTCCCCCCCATCTTGGCTCCCCCCATTCCGGTTCCCCCGCCCGGCCGCTGGCCACCAGCTCCGAAGTTTCCACCATGATCTCACGGCTTGGCCAGGATGGGAGCGGGGTGGGGGGGCGGGATGGGGAGTGCCGGTCATGGGCCTCCCCAAGGGTGCTGGGGGCCCCCCCCGGGTTGCGGGGGAGGCAGCAGGGTCAGGGCCAGGGCTGTCCCCCCTCCTTGCACTCACACACACGTGCGCCCACATGGCCCGGCACAGCCCGTGTCCCTGGAGCTTGGGATTGTCCGGCGCTGGGAGCAGCCGGTGTCCCCTGGCGAGGAGCAGCAGCCACAGGCGTGTTCAGAGCGTGCCATGTGCTGGCACAGCTGTGTGTGTGCTCAGGGCACGCACAGGGCAGGGCTCCCTTGTGCCCTGCACACCCTGGGGCACGTCTGAGCCCCGTGGGGCTGAGGGTGTGAGGGACGAGAGCACACAGGGGATGTGGGGGCTCACTGGGGATGTGCACAGGCAGGGTGAGCGAGAGGGACAGGGTGACATGAGGGACATGGTAACGCCAGGGGTGTGAGCACGAGGGACGTGTGTGCACAGGGGTGTGCACAAGAGACACAGTGCCACCACGAGGGCTGCGTGTGGCAGCTGGGCACACACACCTGTGCACAAGGGAGCGTGGTGTGTTGGGTTATGCCAGCAGGGCCTGCACAGCCCCCCCTGACCGCCCTCAGCCCCCCCAAACCGATCTCAGCCCCCCTGACTGTGCCCTCTCCCTGCAGCCGGCAGCAGCCTGATGGGCAGTGCCCCCCCCTCCTCCTTCATGGGGGGCTTCCTGAGTGGCAGCCTGGGCTCGGGGGGGCCCAGCCACCCCGCTGGCCCCACCGCCTCCCCCCCAGAACCGGCCTTCTGCGGGCCCCACTCCGGCACCTCCCAGATCTGGTTCTCCCACTCCCACGAAGGTGAGTGGGCACCGGGGTGGGGATGGGCTGTGGGTCCGGGGTGGCAGGAGGCACCAGTGGCAGTCAGTGGTCACGTCCTAGCAGTGCCCACATGTATGGGATCCAGACCCCCTGGGTCAGCGACTTCTGGGTGATGAGGGTGGGTTTGGCCACCATTGTGCCCCAAAACACCCCGGGGCATCCGCAGGGACCCGGCTTAGACCCCACAGTTGGGGTTGAGGGTGGCCAGAGAGGCTCGTTCGTGGCTGCAGAGCTCCAGCTGAGGCCGGGCCACCTCGTGCCACTGGTGGTGATGAACCCGGACAGGCACGCCCGTGCTGGGGCAGGTGACAGTGTGGGGACCCCCGGGGCAGCCCTGGTTAAAGCGAGTCCCCGTGTCCCCCCCATGCGCTGGAGTCTCCGTCCCGCCGGAGGAGCGGGAGCGGGGCGGCGGTGCTGGCGCGGGGCCCTGGCAGCCGGCCCGGCTGGTAGTTTGACCGGCTGCCAGCTGGCTCCCGGCGTTCCGGGGGGGCACGGGGGGACGGGGACGGGCAGCGCACGCGGCTGATGGACAGCCCGCCCGAGCCGTGCCGAGCCGAGCCAAGCACGGCCACTGCTGACACGAGTCTGGGGGGGTTCAACCCCCCCCGCCCCGGCTCCCAGAAGGTGGGAGGGGTCCCAGCCTGGAGGGGATCACGGGCTCTGCAGGGAGTTCCCAGCTGGAGCGGTGCAGGTTGGGATGCTGGGGACAGGAGCCACCCCAGCCCCGCTGACTCGTTGTCCCCAGCCCCGGGGTACCCCCGCTTCTCCGGGAGCTTGGCCTCCACCTTCCTGCCCATGGGTCACCTGGACCACCACGGCAATGGCAACGTGCTCTACGGCCAGCACCGTTTCTATGAGAGCCAGAAAGGCAGGTACCGGGGCCACCGGGGACCCCCATGGGGGCGTGCGTCCCCAGCCGGGCAGGAGTGGGGGGCTCGGTGCCGGAGCAGGTGGTACTGGGGCAGCGGGTGGGGTGGTGGGTGCCAGTCCCAGCCCTGCTCCTGCTTTTCACGGGGTCGTGGCGGGTGCTAACGGGGCCGTTGTTAGGGTGGGACAGGGATCTGACGAGCCCTACCCTTCATCCCGCTCCTCCCCTCATCTGCATGGCCACCGGGTGGGTGGGGGGTGCGCGGGGGTCTCACCCATCGCCCTCCCCTCCAGATAACTTCTACCTGCGGAACCTTCCGGCGCAGCCCCCCCTGCTCCCCGCCAGCCACGGCTTCCCCGGCATCGCCCGCGCCGCCCCCGGGCCCCCCGCCGGCTCCTGCAGCCGGGAGCGGGACGCCGGCCCCCTCCCCAAGACCCCCAAGGACTACGAGCGCTTCCTGGCGGGCAAGGAGAAGGGGGGCAAGGGGGACCCCAAGGAGCGGCTGCCCGAGGAGGACCCCAAGGAGCGGCACAAGGCGGTGCTGCCGGTGCCGCCCGAGGGGCACTGCAAGGAGGGGGTGCCGCTGCGGGGGTCCGGCGACGGGCGCCCCAAGCCCTTGGCATCGTGCCTGCTGGGGGCCAAGGGGCTGGACGGGGACGGTGCCCGCGCCGCGCTGCCCAGCTGTGCCGGGAGCGCCCTGCCCCGCGCCGCCCGCTGCGCCCCCAAGGAGCGGGAGCCGGGGGTCCCCGAGGCTCCCCAGCCCTACGGCGAGGCGGTGGAGCGGCGGCAGATGCTGCACCACGCCGTGTCCTACGCCGTGCCCGCCGCCGGCTCCTTCCCCTGCCTCCCGCTCCACGCCGGCCCCGAGGTGCTGTGCCCGCTGCCCGAGCCCCCCGCCCGCGAGCTGAAGCTCAGCGGGGCTACGTTGGTGCCCTCGGTGGGGCCCCCGACGGACAAGAGCCGCTCCTTCCAGGCGGAATCCGGCGGGATGGAGCGCGGGGACGGCAAGGAGCGGCACGCCGAGGCGGGCACCGAGCCCTACGGTGCCCCGTTCCACCACCCGCTGAAGGCCGAGGGGCCGGCGGAGCGGCGGCTGGAGTGGGGGGCTGCGGGCACCCGGCTGAAGGGGCTGGAGTACCTGGGGGGGGGCGCAGCCGAAGCACCCCCCTTCTCCGGGCGGTGCCCGGCGCCCAAGGCGGGTCTGGAGAAGGGCTACTTCGAGGTGCCTCCGGCCCCCGACTGCTCCCGCGCCCCCCGGCCCGACCCTCTGGGCGTCCGCGTCGGCCCCTCCTGCTGCACTTTAGAGAAGGGCCCCCCCAAGGACCCCCCGCCCCAGAAGGTGGCTCGGATCCGGCACCAGCAGCACCCCGAGGCGGAGGCGGCCGAGGGCAAGCGCAAGCCCCTGGAGTTGGGTGGCCTGGGGTACGGCGGGCACCCCCTGCCCCCCTGGGGGGTGCAGGGCCAGGGCCCCCCCCTGGCTGTGGCTGAGGAGAGGAAGGGGGGGCCCTACCTGGACCCCTTCGGGGCGGGGCTGGTGCGGGCGCAGGAGGTGCCCAACGCCCCCGACGAGGTGTCGGCCATGAAGAATCTGCTCAAGTACAGCAACGGGGCGCTGCTGGGGGGGCAGAAGGGCCCCCCCTTCGTGGGGCTGGGCAGCGCCAAGGGCAGCTGCGCCCACCAGGATGCCAAATTCCCATCGGGAAAGGGACAGCCCGAGCTGGAGCGGCCGGACTGCGCCCGCGGCCGGGAGCACGAGGGGTTGGGCCCCGGCGGCACCGAGGGCGAGGTGCGGCAGCCGCCCGTGGGCATCGCGGTGGCCGTGGCGCGGCAGAAGGACACGCTGGGCCGCCACGAGCCCTACAGCGCCGGCGGCAGCGGGCGGCAGCGGGCGGCGGCTGGAGTCAAAGGTAAGGGCCGGAGAGGGGCCCGGGGCGGCGTGGGGCTGGCGGTGCCACGCTGATGCCACCGCGGTGTCCCCGTGGCAGCAGGCACCGCGCGACCCGTGCACCTGATGGAGCTGGAGGCAGAGGAGGAGCGGGGCCGGCTCTGCGAGGAGCGCCTGGGGCTGCCCGGGAGGGACATCCTGCTCCAGTGAGTGATGGGGAGCCACAGGTGCTGCTGGGGGGTGTGGGGGACCCCTGTGAAGGCTGGAAAATGTGCTCTGTGTGCTATTTAGGGTTCGGGGATGGAAGATGGGGATCCCTGGAGAGGGTGCAGGGGAGGGGGATGCCACTGCTGCCCCCACACTCCGTGTATCGCCTTTTTCCCGCAGGGACAACAAGGACCTGGTGGAGTTTGCCCGGATGCACCCATCGGGGGGGTGTCCCGGGGAGCTGACCCCCCACCTGATGATGACGGGGGGCTCGTCGCTGCCGGCGGGGCAGCTCGGGGGGGACCCCGCCGCCCACGCCCACCCTGCGCACACGCACTGGCTGCCCCGCACCCGCAGCCCCTCCATCTGGATGGGGGGACACTCCTACGGTCGGTGCCGGCTCTGGGGGCAGTCGGGTGGGTGCTAACCCCAGCAGAGGGGTGCTGACAGACCCTCCCCCGTCCCCACAGGCATCGGGCACCCCGCCCTGCACCAGAACCTGCCCCCTGCCTTCCCTGCCTCCATGCCCAGCGCCATGCAGCCCGTGTTCCCCCTCGCCCAGGACCCCCCTGCCCAGCTTGTCATCCTCCCCACGGAGCCCCCCACCCACGGCACCCCCCACACGCTAGGTGAGCCTGAGACCCCCACCTTGTGCTGGGGAGGGGGCTCCTGGAGGCTGGGGGGGGATTGAGAGAGAGGGGAGGGGGTCCTTGGGGGTGCAGGGTGGGAGATGGGGGTCACTGGGGTACTTGTGAGAGTTCATGGCTGATGGGGTCCTTGGGGGTACTTTTGGGGGTGCAGGGGAGGGGTATGGAGTTTTTGCAGGTGCTGTTGGATTTCAGGGGTAGGAGACGGAGATCTCTGGGGGTGCTGCCAGGGTCACAGGACTGGGGTTGGGCACTGCTGGGGTCTGTGGGGTGACCCTCAAGAGGGTCTCTAATAATTGCCTTCCCCCCCTGCTGGCAGCTGATGTGATGGACCAGGCATCGCTGTGGCCCCCCATGTACCCAGGCCGGGGTCCTGGTGCCCACCTGCAGCACACGGGGCAGCTCCCCGTGTACCCACGGTCGCAGTTCCTGCGGCAGCAGGAGCTCTATGCCCTGCAGCAGCAGCAGCAGCAGCAGCAGCAGCAGCAGCAGCAGCAGCAACAACGGGGGGCGGCCCAGGCCCTCGAGATCCAGCGCCAGGTGCACGGCCAGGTGCCAGGGGGCTGGGGTGGGATGTGGGGCTGGCTGGGGGGTGCAGGGCGGGATGGATGTTGGGGTGCAGGGTGGATTATGGGACTGGGGGATGTGGGGAAGGACTGAGAGCATGGGGGGCGGGCAGTGGGGCAGGGGCTGGACCGTGGGGATGCGGGATGCAGGGCTCAGATGTGGGGCAGGATCTGACGCCTGTCACCTCGTTGTGCCCCGCAGAGGAAGCCGGAGGAGCAGCCCCTGGAGCTGGAGGAGAGGGGTCCCGAGAAGCCCCTCAAACCCTCCCACAAAGCAGTTGCCTTAAACCCCCCGGCCAAGGGCCTGACCTCGGCGGCCCCCGCACCCCCCAAGCTGTCCCCGTGCTGCCACTCGCCGGCCCTGCGGCACCCGGCCAAGTGCCCCGTGACGCTGCCCACGGCCCCCTGCACTTTACCCGCCTGCCCCGCCACCAGCCCCGCCGTGGCCCCCCGCTCGCCGGCCGCCAGCCCCCTGCCCACCCCCAGCAAGGGCGGCGACGGCGAGGACGCGCGGGGCGAGGGGCAGCCCCCGCGCCGCTACCCCAAACCCCTGGAGCCAGGTAGGGCCGCGGGGACGGGGAACGGGAGGAGGGCGACTGGGGAAAACCGGGCCGTCCCCGCTGATGGCTGCCCGCTCCCCGCAGACCTGCCCCCCGGGTATGGCTACCCCGCCGCCGCCATGGGCTACCCCGCGGCGCACTCGGCCGAGCCTGCGGACCCCGACCCCGTGCACGCCGGCTCCCCGCCCGCCGAGCCCGAGCAGTCCCGGACCTTCAGCCCCACGGCCGAGGCGCTGCGAGAGCCGGGCCCCCCGCGGGACCCCCCGGCCGAGGGTCCCGGGGCGCTGCTGCACCGCCATCACCTGCTGCTGGCCCCGGGAGCGCTGTGCGGGGAGCGGGGGGCAGCGCCGGCCGGGGGCGGCACCGAGGAGCCCTTCGGAGGGCACCGGGAGGTGGCTCAGGGAGCGCCGGAGCAGCCGGAGCAGCAGCACCCCGTGCCCGAGGCGGGGGGCTCCCCGCTGCCCCCCACTGTGGAGGAGGAGGAGGAGGAAGAGGAGGAGGAGGAAGAAGAGGAGGAGGAGGAGGAAGGCAACAGCGATGGCTCGGAGCCAGAGGGCAGCTGCGATGAGGAGGAGGAGGAGGAGGAGGAGGATGGTGACGTCCCCAGCGGGCACCAAAGCTGCTCGGGTGGGCTGGAGGCACTGATCGCCGCCGGCATCGACCTGGGGGAGCTGCCGGCGCTGGAGGAACCCGAGGAGCCCCCCCCGGCCCCCCCTTCGCCTGTCCCCCACCCCTCAGGGATCCCCGGCATCGCCCTGCTCAGCGAACTCGCCGACCTGGAGCTGCGCCGGCGCCGCTGTGACCTGGCCAGGGAAGGTGGGTGGCACCCGGTGCCCCCAAATGTCCCCAGAATGTCCTGGTGACTCCCAAGCACCCTCCAGTGCCCTTTGTCCTGTGGGGATGGGGGGCTGCGTGCCATGCTGTGCCGTGCCATGCTGTGCCATGCCGTGCCATGCCGTGCCATGCTGTGCCCAGGGCTCGGCTCCAGCGCTGGCTCCAGGCAGGCGCCGGGATTTCCTCCCAGCTCGGCTTCCCCAGGGAATCCCGGAGGCCCCAGCGGGGATGGCTGCACAGCCTGGCTCATCCCCAGCCCTGCGGGCAGGAGGGAGGGAGCGTGGTGGGGGATCGCGCGCTGGGGTTCAGGTGGGGACAGCGTGGGGCGAGGGGGTGGCTGTGGGGTCCCACTCCCCATGGAGGGATGGGCACAGGGTTGGCTGTGGCCAGATGGGGCACATCACCATGGCCCTCCCAGCCGGGGGTCTGCTCCTCTGCCCCCCAGCCCCCCAGGAGCCAGTGCAGGGCTCCGGGATGTCCATCTTTCCTGACCCCCTGCCGTCCCCACAGGTGAGGATGAGGAGCTGCTGGCCTTTAACCTGCAGAACCTGGCCACGGTGGCGGCTGCCTGGTCACTGGTGGAGGCGGCAGGGCGGGAGGGCAGCCCCCCCGCGCTCAGCCCCCTGCCCGTGTCCCCCCCGCCCCGCGCCCGCGTCCCCCGGCGCAAATACACCTGGACCCCCAAGACCAAGGCCGTGAGTGTCTCCTGGAGGGCGTGGGAAGAGCTGTGCCCGGTCTCAGCCCTGCCTTTGAGGCCGCTGGCACTGCCGGCTGTGCCCAAAGCCCCCCCTGGCCCCCCAGGTGTGCCCTCTGAAGGCGGCCATGGAGCAGCTGAACACGCAGGAGGTGGAGGTGCGGATGCGCCTGGCCGAGCTCCAGCGCCGCTACAAGGAGAAGCAGCGGGAGCTGGTGAGGCTGCAGCGGCGCCACGACCACGAGTACGTCCCTGTCGCTGTCCCCGTCCTCATCCTGAGCCCGGGGGAATCGGGGCAGCCTTGACAGCTGTCCGTGCAGTGAGTCTGGGGCTGGCCTTGGCCTGGGGGGCTCTGCTGACCGTGCCCCCGTTTCCCAGGCGTGACGAGAGCTCCCGCAGCCCAGCACGGCGAGGGCCGGGGCGGCCGAGGAAGCGGAAACACTCCAGTGCCCTGGGCAGGGCTGAGAGCCGCAAGGTCAAGTGAGTGACTGGTGCCGCGTGTCCCCCCTTGGCCCGGGGGAAAAAAATTAATCTGCAGGTTTTATGTCACAAAACGTTAGTGAGAGAGGGGAGGGAGGGGGAGGATGGAGACGGCAGTACAGGAGCCAGCCAGGCCCGGGTCTGGATCCTTCTGGGGGATGCAGGATGAAGCTGAGGGGGTGTGGGATCCCCCCGAGGGGCCCTGGGGACACCGTGCCCACACCGTGCCCCCCCAGGGCGGTGAAGACCAGCCTGTCCCTGCTGTGTGCTGAGCTGCGGGGGGACCCCGAGCCCCAGAAGAAGAGGAGCAAACTGGCGGGGGGGACCTTCGGCAGCCTCCAGAGCTCCCCGGTGAGTCCCACGGGGTCTGGGGGGGGGTGTTCTACCCCCAGCCCCCCCTGAGTCCCCCCCAGTGTGGGGTGCTCCGCCCTGTGTGGTGACTGATGGGGTGTCACAGCTGAAGCAGAAGGTGAAGGGCAAGGGGCTGCCCCCCGGGCTCAGCCCCTTCCGCCGGAGGGACCCCAACCCCGGTGCTCGCATCCAGAAGAAGCTGAACCGGCCCAAGGGCTCCAAGGGCTCCAAGTACCAGGGGCAGGACCCCGGTCCCCGGCAGCCCCCCCACTTCAGAGGCAAGGCGGGCACAGGGATGGGGTGCGGGACTGGGATGGGGGTGAGGGCTCTGGGATGGGAGTGATGGGGATGAGGTGAGAATGGGGTACAGGGGCGGGATGGGGATCTGGTTGTGAGGTGGTGGGGGATGGGGAACGGGGATGTGAGGCTGGGGTGAGGTTCTGGGGTCTGGCACGGGACTGGGGTTTCAGGATCAAAGCTAGGGGTGCAGCCATGGCTCTGGGGGGGGCAGGACAGATATGGAGGGTAGCTCATGATCTCAATTCACCCCCTTCTTCATTGGGGGTGCAGGGGCCACCCTGTGTGCAGGAGTTCCTCACCGCTGTGCTCTCCTCTTGCAGACGAGCCTGAGGGTGACACAGACAGCGAGGAGGGGGACGAGGAGCCGGGGCTGTCACTGGCCGCGGGGCCTGTGGCTGTGCTGGGGCCATCCCCGTCCTCCGTGGTGAAGATGGAGGCCAACGAGAAGGCCAAGAAGAAAAAGGAAAGGCAGGGGCTGCTAGGTAATGGGATTTACCCTGGGAATACCGACAGGGACAGGGACAAGGACCCCGGGGGGCACCTGCTGGGACTGGGTGGGAAACTCTGAGGTGCTCCAAGCTGGGACATCCATGGGGTGCCCTGAGCCCCCCTGGGGTGCCCTGACCCCTCTCCCCACCAGGTCCCTGCCGCCTGGGCAGCCCCGAGGGGGAGGTGAAGATCAAGCGGCGGCCGGTGAAGCCGGGGGGAGCCGGGAAGCTGGAGAAGGTGCCGGGCCGGCGGAAGGCGGGGGGCTGCCCCGAGGGCAGCAAGAAGAAAATGAAAGCCAAGGCAAAGGAGAGCCTGCGGCCCCCAGCCCCCGGCGGCCCCAGCCCCCCGGGACCCCCCAGCAGCCTCTTTGGGGGCACCGACCCCCGGCTGTTGGGGCCGCGGGATGAGGGGGCTCGGCTGGGAGAGAGGGGCAAGAAGGGCACCCGCAAGAGCAAAGGGCTGCAGGCGGCCCTCAGGGTGAGTCAGGGCTGGTGTGGGGGCACCCCTGGGCTCCAGGACAGGGAGACGTGGCATCTGCATGGGCTGGGGCCACCAATGGGACCAGGGAATGCAGGGGGTTGTTCTGGGGTTGCAGGGAGATGTGGGTGCAGGTTTTTGGGAGTGGTTATGGGGCGCTGATGGAACACTGTGGGGTGCAGAGGGATGGGGGCAGGTTTGGCACAGGTACTGGTGGAGCTGAGGGGACACCAGTGCAGGGACTGGGGCGGTGGGAGGCACTGGTGAGCTCTGGGGGGGCTGGGGTCGCACAGAGGGGTCATTGGCCGGCCCTGACCTCCCTGTGCAGCGCAAGAACGGAGCGCTCTCGCTGGCCCTCTCACCCCGGAGCGCCAAAACCATCTTGAGCAAGGGCAAGAAACTGGCCAAGGTCAAAAGCAAAGTGGCCACCAAACAGGTGAGACCCGCGGGGGGTGCTCCCCACCCTGGCACGGCCCCCTTTGCCCCCCACCCACCCCAAGCCTCCTCCTGCAGTGCAAGGGCCGGGCCGTCAGCAAACTCCTGGAGAGCTTCACCGTGGAGGACGACTTCGACTTCGACGACAACAGCAGCTTCTCGGAGGAGGAGGAGGAGCTGGGAGGCTGCCTGGCAGGGGGGGCGCGCGGGGGGGTGCCCCACGCCTGCGCCATCCAGAAGGAGGATCTGCGGGATGGGCTGCACATCCTCATCCCCAAGGAGGACAGCCTGCTGTACGCCGGCAGCGTGCGCACCATCCAGCCCCCCGACATGTGAGTGGAGCCTCCCGGGGGGGGTCCAGACATCTGGGGGGGGGTCTCAGCCATCTGAGGGGGGCACCAAGGTGGGTGCTGAACGCTTTCTGTGCCCCCTCCCCAGCTACAGCATCATCATCGAGGGTGAGCGGGGGAACCGGCAGCACATCTACTCGCAGGAGCAGCTGCTGCAGGAGGCGGTGAGTGGGGGGCAGTCGGGATCGGGGTCAGGGAGGGGGTCCCGGACCCCACAAAGCCTCACCCGCTGCTTCCCGCAGGTCCTCGACATCCGGCCGCAGTCACGCCGGAGCCTTCCACCCGGCACCCGCGTCTGCGCCTACTGGAGCCAGAAATCCCGCTGCCTGTATCCGGGGAACGTGGTGCGAGGTGAGGCTGGGTGGGCTCGGCTGGGGGGGTGGGCGGTGCCGGGGGTGTCGTGCCCATCCCAACAGCCCCCCTGTGCCGCAGGATCCTCCAGCGATGAGGAGGAGGAGGACGCCGAGGCCGTGCTGGTGGAGTTCGATGACGGGGACACGGGACACATCGCTGTGTCCAACATCCGCCTGCTACCCCCTGACTTCAAGATCCAATGTGAGGGGTTGGGGTGGAATCACGGGATTTGGGGGGATGTGGGGGGAGCACGGGGCCGCCCTGACCCCCAGCTCTGTGCAGGCACCGAGCCCTCCCCGGCACTGCTGGTGTCCAGCTCCTGCCGGCGAGCAAAGCGGGCGTGTGGCGACGTGGGCACCCCTGGGGCGCTGCCCCCCACGCTCTGCCCCGACCACGGCCCCCAGCCCCCCCGGAATTCTGGCAGGAAGGCGGCCAGCAAGGAGAAAAGTGGTATGGAGGGGAAGGAGCAGGATCCTCTGATGGGCTGGGGTGGGGGGAATGGTGTTGGGATGGGGAAAGGCACTGGGGTGCGAGAAGGAGTGTTTGGGATGGCGGAAGGATACTGGGATATGGGGAAGTGTGCTGGGGTGCATGGAAAGATGCTGGAATGTAGGCAGGGGAATGGATTCATGGAATCAGGGTGCTGGGATGCAAGGATGGGGTTAAGGGGAATATTGGGGTGCAAAGAAAGGTGAGGAGCTGGGGTTGGAGGAAGATATGGCACAATGCGGGTGGAGATCAGCCCCGGAGCATCCCTCTCTCCCTGCTCCTGCGGACCCCTGAGCGCTGTGTTCCGCAGGCAAAGCCGTGGAGGGGCTGTCGGGGGGCCGGGGGCCGGCGCTGGCTGACACCGCGGCCGGGCGGCGCGGAGGGTCCCTGCTCAGCTGGGCCGCCGTGGCACAGACCAAGCGGAAGGCGGCGAACAAGGGCTCGGCCGTGCTCCAGAACCTGTTCCAGGTCAACGGCAGCACCAAGAAGCTGCGGGCCAAGGAGACACTCTTCCCTCTGCACCACCACCACCACCACCTCGCCGCCCCCGTCTTCGGTAACGCCTTCGGCGCCGACTCCTTCGGCCGCATCGCCAGCTCCTACGGCTCCTTCGGTGCCGGCGCCGGGCTGGTGCTGCCGGCGGCCCAGAAGCTCCTGCGCTCCAAGAAAGCCGAGCGGCTGGAGGCCGAGGTGGGCAGGAGCGGGCGCAGGAAGGCGGCGGGCAGCGAGTTCCTGGTCAAGCTGGACCACGAAGGGGTGACGTCCCCCAAGAACAAGACGTGCAAGGCGCTGCTGTTGGCCGAGAAGGATTTTGGGGCCAGGCTGGAGCGGCCGCTGGGCAGCCACGGCTACGGACACGCCGGCCTGGGCGGCCGGGAGCGCAGGGGCCGCGCGGCAGCACACCCGCTGCCCGTGGGGCTGGCGCTGCGCAAGTACTCGGGGCACGGGGACTTCGCCCTGAACTGCGACAGCGACTGCCACAGCTCCTACTCGGACATGGACGAGGACGAGGACGCGGGCGGGCTCAGCGCCGACGTCCCCTCGCGCTTCATGACGCGCCTTTCCGTGTCCTCCTCTTCCTCGGGCTCCTCCACCTCGTCCAGCTCTGGGTCCATCTCCACGTCCAGCCTGTGCTCCTCGGACAATGAGGATTCCTCCTACAGCTCGGAGGACGAGGACTCGGCGCTGCTGCTGCAGACCTGCCTGTCGCACCCGGTGCCGGCGCTGCTGGCGCAGCCGGACGCGCTGCGGCCCAAGGGCACCGCGCCCCAGCGCTGCTTCCTGTCCAAGGCGGCCGCCGCCGGCCCCAAGGCCAAGCTCAAGCGCAAGGATCCCCTCAGCTTCGCCAAAGCCAAAGAGTTCTCCCGGCGGCAGCGCCTGCCCTCGGTGGAAAACCGGCCAAAGATCTCCGCCTTCCTGCCCGCGCGCCAGCTCTGGAGGTGGTCGGGGAACCCCACACAGGTAAAGAACGGCACGGCACAGCCGGCATCCGGCTCCTGCCACAGCCAGCGCCCGCCGTGGGTGCCCACCTGGGCATGGTTTGGGATGGAGGGAGTCAGGTGCCGCGTGCTCAGGGCAGAGCCCTGGGTGCTCGGGGTGCTGGGGACAGCGGCTGTGACACGTGGGTGCCCTGTGCAGGGTGCTGGTGGCACTGGCACCTAAGTCCTGCTGGCTGCAGGATGGGGGAGGGTGCTGGTGGCACCAACTGTGAGTGCCAGCACAGGGTGCTGATGCCACCAGCTGTGTCCCTTGAGCTGGCAGCGCTGGTGACGGCAGCCGTGTCTGTCATTCTGCGAGCCCCCCGCCCTGGCACCGCTCTCCACGTCCCCCTGGCGGTGTCCCCACGGCAGCGGGGCGGGTTTGGGGGTCCCCACGGCATCCCTGAGCCCGTGTCCCCTCCCCAGCGGCGCGGCATGAAGGGCAAGGCGCGGAAGCTGTTCTACAAGGCCATCGTGCGGGGCAAGGAGACGCTGCGCGTGGGCGACTGCGCCGTGTTCCTGTCGGCCGGGCGGCCCAACCTGCCCTACATCGGCCGCATCGAGAGCATGTGGGAGTCCTGGGCCAGCAACATGGTGGTCAAGGTCAAGTGGTTCTACCACCCCGAGGAGACCAAGCTGGGCAAGCGCCAGAGCGACGGCAAGGTGAGGGCAGGGCTGGCTCCGGGGGCAGGGAGCCATGTGCCAGCCTAGGGAGCCGTGCGCTGCCTCACGTGGCCACGCATCGTGTCAAGTAGCCACGTAACACGTCAGGTAGCCACGTGTTGAGCCATGTAGCATCGCCAGAGAGCCATGAGGTAGCCACATACCAGGGTAGGTAGCCACATACCGTGTCTGGTACACGTGTGCTGTCAGGTAGCCATGTGCCGTGCCAGGTAGCCACATCCCGTGTCGTGTGGCCACGCGTGGCCATGCACCACATCAGGTGTCAAGTAGCCACATACCTACCTCAGGTAGCCATGTACCATGCCAGGTGGCCATATCCCACAGCAGGTAGCCATATCCCGCAGCAGGTAGCCATATCCCACAGCAGGTAGCCATATCCCGCAGCAGGTAGCCATATCCCACAGCAGGTAGCCATATCCCACAGCAGGTAGCCATATCCCACAGCAGGTAGCCATATCCCGCAGCAGGTAGCCACGTTCCAGCCCCGGCAGCGGCAGTGACGGCGCCTTGTCCCCGCAGAACGCGCTGTACCAGTCGTGCCACGAGGACGAGAACGACGTGCAGACCATCTCGCACAAGTGCCAGGTGGTGGGGCGGGAGCACTACGAGCAGCTGACGCGCGGCCGCCGCTGCCAGGACCGCCAGGACCTCTATTACCTGGCGGGCACCTACGACCCCACCACGGGGCGCCTGGTGACCGCCGACGGGGTGCCCATCCTGTGCTGACCCCCGGGGTGCCCACCCTGTGCTGACCCCCGGGGTGCCCACCCTGTGCTGACCCCGCCCTGCTCTTATGCAAAGGGTGACATTTGGGGACATTGGGGGCACATCAGGGGACGTGGTGGGGGAGGGGGGCTCCCCTACAAGCCATAACTTTCCCTAGTACCTCTGACTGTTTGCCAGCAGGTGAAGCAGAAATCAGGTGTGTTGTTCTATTTATTTTGCCTGTAAATATTGTATTTCTTCCGGGAAGTTTTATGGAAAAGCGAGAAAGGAAAAAAAAAAAAAAAAATAACCCCGACAACTACAGCAACAACAACAACAAAAAAAAAAAAGACAAAAAAATGATGAAAAAAAAATCACAAAAAAAATAATAATAATCCTCGGGGAAGGGGGCGGGGTGGGGGGCGTTTCAGTGCACTGTGTCCCCCAGCCTGGGGGGACGGGGACAGCGGGGAGCGCTGTACAGAGGGGGCCAGGGCGGGGGGCTCGGCCCCGGGCGGGGGGCCCAGCGCCGCCGTCCCCAGTGCAATAGTGGGGTGACCGCGGGGGGGACACCCTGGGGGGACCACGGGGACCCCGCGGGGCCGGCGGACGCTGGCCCGTCCCGCCGCCGCTGCCTGGAAAATATGTACAGGGGCTTTTCCAGTGTAAACACTAAAATACAAAACAAAACAAAATCCCATAAAACAGGATTAAAAATAAAAAAAAATAACCCAAAAGGACAAAAAAAAAAAAAGGAGCAAAGGGTTAAACAAAGGTTTTATGAGCCGCCATTCCTGTAAAGGCCTTTTACTATGGAACTTTTTTATGGATAACTTGGCTTATGAATAAATATATGAACCGTTGCTGGTGCTGGCTCCGCTCTTGGCTCTGCCTCAGTTTCCCTCGTGCTGCAACCACCTCTGGAACCCCCAGTTACGGATCAGGGATGGAACAGGGATGTAGGAATGGATCAGGGATCAATCAGGCATCAGTCAGGGATGCAGGAGTGCATCAGGGATGGATCAGGAATGGATCAGGAATGGATTAGGGATGCAGGAATGGATCTGGAATGGATCAGGAATGGATCCGGGATGGATCAGGAATGGATCCGGGATGGATCAGGGATGGATCAGGAATGGATCCGGGATGGATCAGGAATGGATCTAGGATGGATCCGGAATGGATCCGGGATGGATCAGGGATGGATCAGGAATGGATCCGGGATGGATCAGGAATGGATCCGGGATGGATCAGGAATGGATCCGGGATGGATCCGGGATGGATCCGGAATGGATCCGGGATGGATCAGGAATGGATCCGGGATGGATCCGGGATGGATCAGGAATGGATCCGGGATGGATCCGGGATGGATCCGGAATGGATCCGGGATGGATCCGGAATGGATCCGGGATGGATCACTCAGGGCCTGATCCCCGCTCCCCACGTGGGCTCAGACGGACGGGCAGAGCTCCCTCGCCATTGGTCGAGCCTCCGCCAATCAGCGGTGGCCGAGCGGGCAGCCGGGCTCCCATTGGCTGTCGGGGCGCGCTTTTGTTCTCGGCGCGGGCGCGCGCCGCCAAACCCCGCCCCCGGCCGCCAGGGGGCGCTGTGGGCGGGGCGAGCCCGCGCGCGGGGCCGTGCTGCCCCCTGGCGGCCGCGCTGCGACACAGCGCCAAACACCGGGGGGACAGAGGGACACGGGGGGGGACAGAGGGACACGGGGGGAATATCTGGGGGACATGAAAGGAGATGGACAGACGGACACAGGCTCAGCAGAACAGGACAGATGGGCAAGTGGAAGGACAAGAGCTTCGTGCTGGGAAGGACAGACAGACGGACAAGGACATGGCTGGAGGGTGACCGGACAGGTTGGCAAAGGGATAGAAAGGTGGCTGGACAGACGGGTGGACATAGAATTGGACAGACGGACGGGCACCGGGAGCAGTGGACAGATGGAGGCAGGGAGGGATGGAGAGCTGGACAGACAGACTGACACAGGGAGGGATGGATGGTGAGCCAGGCAAGTGTGGGGCTGGGCGGACAGACGGATGGACAGATGGATGCAGGGAGAAATGGACAGCTGGATGGACAGATGGATGTAAGGCCAGACAGACGGACTCGGGGATGGCGGGTGCAGAGCAGTTGGCGGGGACAGACGGACGGCTGGACAGACAGACAGGTGCAGGGTAGGATGGACAGAGGGACAGCTGCACTTGAGTGTAGGTGCCAGAGGCTGCGGAGGACCTGACCCTCCCCAGCGCTGCCCAGCTGGGACTGGGGGGACCCCACAGCCCTAGGCTGGCCCTGGCAGAGGGGACAATGGCACCAAGGGGCTCATGGCCCCCCCTGGCCAGCTGCTGCTGTGTCCACGGGCACCTGTCACCCGCTGGCCTGGGGACACCACCCCCAGGGCTTGGGGTGTCCCCAAAGGAAATGCCACCCATCCCAACACCCAGGGCCCTTTGGGATCCCAGCGATGGATGAGGGGTAGGAAGAGCTGGAGAGCCCCAGGTGGAGGCAGCAGGCCCTGCATCCCAGGAGAAAATCCAGCCCATGGAACATGGCTCTGACCCCAAACCACCTAATTTTAGCCCAAAAACCCCACCCCAGCTTCCTGGGGAAGGTCCCACCCACTCTCCCCCCCACCTCACCACACACAAACCCAACTGGAGTTACTGCAGCTTTTTACCATTTTATTTTCCTTACACAATGAAGTGTTGTTGGGCGTTACAATTTCTCAACTTTTCGGATGATTTTTAAACAAATTTTGGTTCTTTTGTTTGTTTTTCCTACCGTCACGTGAGAACATTAAGGCAACGTACAAAAAAAAAAAAAAAAAGAAAAACAAAAGAAAAAAAATATCTGACATAAATTAAAACAATGCAGAAATTTACAGGTGTAAATGCAGAGTTTCAGCAACTCAGAGCTGAGGAACTCGAGCCCCGTGGTGGATCAGGGGGAGGAGGAGGAAGATGAGGAGGGGTGTAAGGCTCGGATGCGATATGTTTGTTTTTTCCCAACCTTGCTAGAAACGGTGAAAAAAAAAAATTCTCAATGGACTCCTACCAGCCTCTACAGGAAACCTGGAATATTCCACACGGGATGTACGGACACGTCTGGCTCCGAATACCCTGTACAGAGCAGCCCCGGGGCCGCTGTCAGTGTGGGGGGCCCTGGGATGGGGAAATCCCGGGATTGGGGAGCCCTGGGAAGCCGATCCGTACAGGGTAAGAGCTCAGGGCCCGGCTAACTCGGCTACATGGTCTAATCAAGTGACAGCGTGCCCATCCACGTGTCTAACATCAGGAACAGACTTCCCAAGGGCAGGATTCTTTTGGAAGAAGGCTTATTCCAGTTGCAGGAGGCTGGCATGAGGTGTATGGATGCCTGGGCACACCTCCCGGGCGTGAGGCGGCGGCGGGGCCCGCAGTCCGTTTAGAAGCATTTACGGTGCACGATGGAGGGGCCGGACTCGTCGTACTCCTGCTTGCTGATCCACATCTGCTGGAAGGTGGAGAGGGACGCGAGTATGGGGCCGCCGATCCACACGGAGTACTTGCGCTCGGGCGGGGCGATGATCTGCGGGAGGAGAGAGCGGGGTCAGAGAGCTTCCAGCCTCCCCCGTGCCCACCCCGCCCTGCCCACGGAGTCCTGCCCACCTTGATCTTCATGGTGCTGGGGGCCAGCGCCGTGATCTCCTTCTGCATGCGGTCGGCGATGCCCGGGTACATGGTGGTGCCCCCGGACAGCACCGTGTTGGCGTACAGGTCCTTCCTGATGTCCACGTCGCACTTCATGATGGAGTTGAAAGTGGTCTCGTGGATGCCGCAGGATTCCATGCCTGGGAGGAGAGGGATGCCGGTTCATCAGCTCAGCGAGCTCATTAATGCCACCCAGGACCTCTTAACGGCCCCACCCCACACCTACCCAGGAAGGAAGGCTGGAAAAGCGCCTCTGGACACCGGAACCTCTCATTGCCGATGGTGATGACCTGCCCGTCGGGCAGCTCGTAGCTCTTCTCCAGCGAGGAGGAGGAGGCGGCCGTGGCCATCTCCTGCTCGAAGTCCAGCGCCACGTAGCACAGCTTCTCCTTGATGTCGCGCACGATCTCGCGCTCGGCCGTGGTGGTGAAGCTGTAGCCCCTCTCGGTGAGGATCTTCATGAGGTAGTCGGTGAGGTCGCGGCCGGCCAGGTCCAGGCGCAGGATGGCGTGGGGCAGAGCGTAACCCTCGTAGATGGGCACGGTGTGGGTGACACCGTCCCCGGAGTCCATTACAATCCCTGTGGTACGGCCGGAGGCGTAGAGGGACAGCACGGCCTGGATGGCCACGTACATGGCCGGGGTGTTGAAGGTCTCAAACATGATCTGCAAGGAGGAGAAGAGTCAGTGAGCAGCGAGCCCCGAGCTGGGTGTGTGCACTCGTGTTAGAACACACATGCTGCATGCAGAGCAACCCCGGTGTGTGAAGGGAAAGCCAAAGGATGCAGGCAGAAACACAAATGAAAGAACCTGAGGCGTCAGGGGAGAAATGCCAGGAGAACAGAACCCTGAAAATGTCGGGAGAAACAAAACAAAAAAAAAAAAAAAAAGAAAAAAAGAATAAAAAATTCAGGTTTTAGATGTAACAAGGAAGATTCGTGAAGGAAATGACTGAGGGGGGCCAGTGGGTGGAGAAAACATGGTTACCTGCGTCATCTTCTCTCTGTTGGCCTTGGGGTTCAGGGGAGCCTCTGTGAGCAGCACCGGGTGCTCCTCGGGAGCCACGCGCAGCTCGTTGTAGAAGGTGTGGGGCCAGATCTTCTCCATGTCATCCCAGTTGGTGACGATGCCGTGCTCGATGGGGTACTTGAGGGTCAGGATGCCCCTCTTGCTCTGCGCCTCGTCGCCCACGTAGCTGTCCTTCTGCCCCATGCCCACCATGACGCCCTGCGAAACCCAAGGGCTGAGTGAGCGCCGCCCCCGCCGCGCCCCGGCCCCAGCCCGCGTCCCCCGCCCGCCTCACCTGGTGCCGGGGGCGGCCGACGATCGAGGGGAACACGGCACGGGGAGCATCGTCCCCGGCGAACCCGGCCTTGCACATACCGGAGCCATTGTCGATGACGAGGGCGGCGATTTCCTCTTCCATGGCGGAGGCTGCGGCGGGAGGGAGGAAGGGAAGGGCCGGGTCAGCGCCCGCCGCGGCCCCGGGAGGAGCCGCTGGCGCCGGGCCATGCCCTGCCCAACCCCCCCGCTACGGCGCCCCAGTGGTTTCTTCTGTTTGAATAACCAGTTTGAATCTCCCGCTCGCTGACGTCACCCACCGCATCCACCAATAGCAACGCAGCCCCCCCTCACACCCCCACCGGTCCGTACCCACGGCCGACACCATCCCAGCGCGGCGCGGGGGGGAGGCAAGGGGGGAGGACTCGCGCTACTCGG